ATTGGGGTGTTAAGACAGACAACAATACGTGGGACGGATTGATTGGTCAAGTACAGCGTCGTGAAATTGATATAGTATATGCTGAGTATGTGATGACTACAGAACGAAGCCAACTCATGGATTTTATATTACCGCCCATTATAACATCATCTGCAGTTATGGTCTACAGGAACCCAGGCGAAGAAGAAGAAACATGGACATCTTTATTGAAGCCATTAAATACTAATGTTTACATCCTATTATTCGTTTCGTTTATCCTATTTTCATTTTTGTATATAGCAACTGAGACTTTTCCTGTGCTTGATTTAGCCCTGGAACAAAATAGGGAATACCCGAAGTCTTGGCAGATACTTTTTGACATATTAGGGTGTCTTTTTCTTGAAGCAGGCCATATTCATCCAAGAACTCGTAAAGGTCGAAACTTGTATTCGTCATGGTTGATATTTTGTGTTATATTTGCAGCTGTTTATACCGCAAATTTAACATCTTCCCTTCTGGTGAAAGAACCTAAAATACCCTTTACTTCACTGGGAGAACTAGTTGATCAGAAGACGTGGGGATATGGTGTAATGAAAAATTCAGCAATGCAAGGTGTGTTCGAAAAATCTACAGATGAAGAGACTAGAAAAGTGTGGCAAGGAATTGTAAAACAAAATAAAACCGACCCTTCTGTTTTATCTGAAAGCATAGATGATGTTATGGACAAAGTAATGAATGATAAATTCGTCTTCATCGATGGATATATTATAAGGAGTATCATGCCTAGAGATGGCTGTTTGTTTTCAGTTCTTGGCAATACTATCAAGACACAACATTCAAGCTTTGCTGTTCCCTTAGATTCTCCCCTGAAGAATGATCTGGACCAGTATATGATACGACGATCTGAAGCAGGGTTCAATTTGGGTCTTTATGAACTAGTGTCAAATTCTAAACTTTGTGAACTAAAACAATCAAAACCTTGCTCCAGTCCAAACGTGTGTAAACCGGTTAGAGCCTTTTCCATAGATAACATTAAGGGGTCGTTTGTGGTACTTGGAATTGGTTTAATTATATCTTTCCTAGGACTTGTATTAGAATGCATACTGAAATTGAGAAAAGGTTGAAAGATCAAGCCAACGAGATAATAGTAAGCAATGGACCAGATTGACTTTTTAAGTTTTTATTTCATATATTTGCTTTGAAGATAAAATGTTTCCCTACACTAGTTTATAACCATTTATAAACTAAATGTCCGAAAGGTTTAACAACGAAGGGTGCGCCTTGAAATAATAAAATAATTTAGAATATAGTTAGACATAGGTTTACTTGTATTGCTCATGTCATTTCTGTTAGAATCTATATTGATTGCAGTGGGGTATCATTAGTGTAGGTCAAAATATAACCGCTTCGACTTATGTTATAAATTCGCTTTAAATTTATCAAATTTCAGAGTATTGAAATGGTAAGCCAAACAGATGACAGTAAGAAAGAATCAAAAGAATTCTTAAAGAGCACATGAAATGACCATATAAAAGTTGGGTGTACTTAAAAATATTTTCACACAAACGTATTTATGGGGTGGTTATTTCCAATAAAAGTATGGCAATTTTGTTATATATGGAAGTAGAAACATCCAAACATGCAATCGTTCTAGAAAAATACTGGATTCCCTAAAAAACACCCATGGGGCGAATACAGGACAAAAAGTATAAGGGTTTACCTAACCGACAATCTGACGATTAAGACCCGGTCCCACTGCACTTACGGATGCAAAGAGGATGTAAAACGGGGAAAAAACGTGCCCTCCGTTTGAAAACGCCATGCATCCGTTGTGTACTCATTGCATACGTGTTTCATACCCTCTATCCATCGAGCATCCGTTCACTTTGATTTCATCCGCGCAAAAAGTTTTGAACTGCACAAAACTTTTATAACGGATGAACTTTCTGCCGTGTACGATGTAAATGCGCGACATATACGAGCATTAAACGTTCCATGTCCGTTATCATCCGTTAAGCGTCCACTGTATCCTCTCTGCATCCTCGCAACTCACATCCGCTCCAGCTGAAAACGGAAAGAGGGAGGAAAGATTAGGTACATGGAACGTCTATACATCGTTAGTAGCACGGAAATAGAAAGGATCTAAGCGTATGCATCTCGTATATAAAGTTTTCAAAACGGACAAAGCGTTTGTATCTGGGATGTATCTGGTATATTGAAGGATGTCGGAGCTGTCATCCACTTCCATACGCTTCCATCCGCTAGGCTTCCGATGAACATCCATTTAACATCCCTGCTACATACTTCACACGTTCGTTCTTTTCCGTTCTGTTTTCGCAAATTTTCGTCAATTTTGTCCATTTCTGGAGCGGATGAAAAAGGATGGAACCACCCCCGAAAGTTTGCTCGTCCGCTGTGTCCTTTTTGCATACGTTTTGTGTCCATCGGCCACTGGGACCGGGCCTTCAGGGTGTCTGCTCGAGTGACGTCAAAGGTTACACGCGAAGATTGTCTCAGCGTTTGATGTATATGTTGATAAATTTGATGGTAAGCTTAAAAGTACAATAGTTTATGAGATAACCCCCCCCCCCCCCAAAAAAAAAAACCCAAAAAAAAACAACATGGTAAAAGATGTAAGCAGTGGATAATTAGAGAATTTAATTAGACTTCGGTATTTATGATAAATGGACAGCGATTAAAGACAACATCGTCTTGTATATGCAATGAATTCTCCTCCGGCTTCGTACAAATTTAACGTCCACTCGACATGTTCAATTTTATTTCAATAATTCGCTAGTGCGTATGGTTCTTTAGAAGTGGGAGGAAACCAGAGAAACCCCACGAGGTTGAACAGGCAACATTACTCCTTTTCACGCACAACCGGGGAATCGAAACCACGCCAGTTGACTCAATGACAGACCTTATAATACAACGCGCACACACTAACCATTCGGCCATCGAACCCCCTGTTTTGAGGAAGATTTCAGGCACCATTTTGATATAGATTAATTAGTTTGAATATGTTTTTAGTACAAATATATCATTAGATCACAAAATTTGTACGCGGGAATGTATCTTTAAAGGACAATTGGTGCCCTACAATATTACATATGCGATACGAAGATTTGAAGAAACGGAAAGTGACGCAAAACATGGTAAATATGAGGTATTCTTATATGTAACTGACTGAAGTATTGAGCGATAATAGATACATGGTCGATTTTCAGCTCACTGATAATATAATTCCTTCGAGGATGAAAAGTTGTTATATTAGACTGTGAGAGGATATCTGTTCACGGGATATAAGAGAAGGCGAGAAAACTATAAAAAATCTGTGCATTCCTTGTTTTTATTCTTTCTTCGCTTACACATTTTAAGCAATAATTACAGTTTATTCCGGTAGCCAGGAATCAAGAGTACATGTAGATGTTGCAAACGTATATTAATAATTTGGTTTTCTAACTGCATTTGTAGCCTGAATTTATTTCATTGTCATGATTTCTTTTGATGAATATACATTGCATTTACTCTTCATTTAACTTGAGAAATCGTGCCTGATCTATAGATCTATTTCTTGGATACAGGATTCTATATTAATAGTAAGGCTATATTCGCCGGAATCAATTTATATATACAGTTGGGTGTCGTCAGCATACAAGACCACAATTGAGGATTACTATTGCTAATATGTCTAATGCTAGGTTACCACTATCACGATTGAAATCGTGGTTTTAATCGAGGAGTAATCGTGGTGATCCTATCAGATCTTATAATATATTGAGGTCAGTCGTAGCAATCGTATCCGAACGTATCAGATCGTGGACGCAATTAGGACAATCACATCGTAACGAATCGCACGACAGTGGGAATCTAGCATAACCGGAACTGTGTAAGACGTAAAACGTTTTGTGCCGAATACCGATCGCTGTGGAACGCCGAAATGAAGTGGTTTGCGTTGGGATCTGAGCAGTTGCTGAAGGTTTCCGGTGTTCTCTCTGTTAAGTACGTTAAGTATGATTTAAACCATTAAGTGCTAACTCACCAATAGGCCTACCTTACCGAGTGTTAAGACGTTTCAGCAGAACTATTTGGTCTACGGAACCGAACGCCGCACCCAATATGCGTTATTATTCGCAGACGTTCACTTAAGCATTGTTTTAGTGACAATGTCGGGATGGGAACCAATGGACATGTATGTGGGTGACGTTTGATCTCAGCTTCAGTTGCTGGCTCGAAGCTGCCGAGACGTTGACCATTAAACCATACTTCAGACTGAGTCTATGTTCCATGACCGTTTTGTAAGTTTTTCCGAATGTGCTATACCTTGTCATGAAATTAATCGTAAAAGTCTACATTGGTTCGGTTAGATAGTAATTTAGAAGATTGGGTGTTTTTTTAAGTTCATTAGTAGTTATCTGCTCTTCTTTTGTATCCCTTCAATAATAGGTAACCGATCCTTATTGATTCATATTTTATTGATAAGTCTGTAGAGTCATTTGCATTTTTCGGAAACCATCAAATTTTCCAGGGATTAATCCAGGCTGAAATGTACTCAAATTAAATTTTTAACATGCTGGCTTGAACAGCCGTATATAGATCTGATTCATATTCTTTTATAACGGTTGAATATTTGGCCGTGACATAAACGGTAATGTATCAATAACTTTAATCAGATTGGTGTGAAATTGGCGTAAAGTGCATAATAAATACTGGTTTCAAGTATTCCACTTTTATGTGCTCTTTAAGATTGTATGATTCATTTTCTAGGGTCGTTTTTCAGTTAGTAATTAAATTGTATGTAGACACTGCTCAAATCATTTCAAACAAGAGCAACCCTAACCAGGCAGATCCCATGATAGGCCCACCATGATAGGCCCACCTTCCTGCTTTGATTGAAATGGAAGCTTTTAAAATGAAATATAAAATGGCTACAATGATGTCAATATAAATTTCTAGTCAATTGGATAAGATTTAACAACAATTTGGGAATATAAAATGGCTTTCAATAACAACTGCGTTAATTATTTACAGTTTTCCCTTTTTATTGTCATTTTTAAGGAATTTCATAATTTTGCGGAGATCAACCATTATAACAACATTTTTCTTTGGCCCTCATTAAGAGCTTTTTCTGCTATTGCAACTTTTTCAGCTAACGCTGGCCCTGTTTTGTCTTTTCCTTTTTTTCGAATTAAGAAATGCACTAAGAATAACTTAAGTCCTTCCTGGAGATGGCGAAGTTTATCATTCACAGACACCTTAAGAAAAATAGATTCTATCACTTCCGAAGAATTATCCAATAACAACTGTTCTAACATAATTCTAAGGAAGTTCACCATGGCTTTATCTAATGTTCCAAATTCTATAACCTGAAATATAAAAATTATATCTGTTTCATTTCTGTGGTATGCTGGGGCGTCAGAACGATGGGGCTATGGGTGCAAATGCCCTCTTGCCCCCAAAAGCATGGGGCAATTGCCCTACTACCCCTATAGTTTTGCCAGTTGTCCCTTAAAATGTATTTTAGAGTTGAAATGACAAAACATGCAAGATTAGGCAGGCAACACTACCCCCTGTCACCTACAAACCCAAGGATCAAAGTCAAATCCATGAACTACATCAATGATCTGCAGTGCACACATTAGACATTGTCTCACCCCCCCACCCCTCCAACGCATACATAGTAGTGTTCAACACAAATCCTTTTTTAGCCAACAACCTGAGCTACAAAGGAAAAGCTTCAACAGATAGATTACTATGTTACTATGAAGATACTTGTTATAGCCCCACTCCAACCCGTGTCTTCACGTCAATATACATATATACTGTATATATATACTTACTTTAAGTATAGAGAGATTAACGGCCTGTTGAACCAATTGATGATTGACTACACTAGCTAAATTATGAACATTTTTAATGGACAGATTTGACATCTCTTTAAATTTGTCCCATAAATAAAACTGTAATGTCATCTAAAATAAAACAAGTCAACAGTGAGGCTGATGTCCCCCGCCACAACCCCAAAATAAATAGATGACACATATTAATTAATTGCACATTTATTTTTTGTCAAAAGTATTAAGCAATCTAACTGATTATCTATACTTAGTCTAAGCAGAAAATGTTCATGATTGAACTCAGTCAAGTTTTTGAAGTACCTGTTTTCCACAATAGATGACACATATTAATTAATTGTACATGTATCTTTTTGAAAAGGATCAAGAAATCAAACTGTTTATCTATACTTAGCCTAAGCAGAAAATGTTCATGATTGAACTCAGTCAAGGTTTTGAAGTACCTCTTTTCCACAAATCAGAATCAAAGTCATCTTGTCCCAAAGCAACGACCAACAAAATTGCTTAGCTCTGCTTAGCTTTAGCGAAAAATCTTGATCATTGAACTCCGTCAAGAAATTCACTTAATGAACATCTACACCCAGTTTAAACATTCTACCTCAATTAAAAGATTAGTTGTTATGTTCCAAAGTCCTGACCAATCAAATTGCTTATCGTTACTTAGCCTAAGCAGAAAATTCTCACATTGAATATAATGAATGATATAATGAATCTATAGTCTCAAGTTTCATCACTCTCACCCAATTAAAACTAATGTTATCTGTGCTTAGCCGTAGTGGAAAATGCACATGATTGAACTCTGTCAAGGTATTCACCTAATTAGACACCTACACCAAGTTTGAACATTCTACCTCAATTAGAAGGAGAGTTATTGTGTTCCAAAAAGCGTTACGGAGAGACAAACAGAGAGACAGACGAACAAACGGACGGACAGAACCATTTTAATAGTCCCCTGCTTTCTTAGAAAGGTGGGGGACAACAAAATACAACAGTATACATTAAGTGCGTTGTATTACATATACAGCACTTAACGAAAATAAAACCAAAATTAGAGAGAAGAAAACAACACAGTAATTTCAGAACTAACATCCTTGATAATGATATAGATTTATATTTCGTTTATTCGTGCAGTTGCAGGAAAATTCAGGATGATAGGCGGGTAATTTGATTCCTTGCCAAGCGCATCTTGTTTGATAAAACAAACACATAGAATAGATGATCTGAGATTCTCACAGCAGTGACTAGGAACATTTCCCCACTACACCCTTCCGCAAATGTTTTATTGAGAATTCCAAAACTTGAAAATGTGGAACTAAAAGCTATTGAGAGGAACAACAAAGAGTATTAATGATCATTAAACCATTATTTGTTCCCTAAGAAATAGGACACAAAATTTGAATAAGTGTACTGAAAAAACAAAATTTCATGTTGATGTTAGCCTTAGGCATGGAGCTTTAACTTCTTTGTCTAGACAATAATTTGGAGATTTTGAGACTAACATACTGTGTTTTTTTTTCTCTGGTCATATGTTCAATCATAAGGAGTATTTTGCCCAGACAGTGGTGTTTATTTTATTTTACATGCATTCCAGTGTGCGCACTTATTATGGGCCTCAGTTTTTCAACCCATCTGAACAATTAAGAAACACTACCTTTGTATTAAAGATACATTATGGGAGATTAGATAAAGAGCTGGCAGTTCTCACTATAATAGTTAAAAACTAGATAATGTAAAGGGAATGTGCTGAAAATTCAGTCAAATTGATCCACCCTGAACCGAGTATTTAGCAATTGAATTTTTGGTCTAGCCCCGATCATCATTACTAAAGTAGGTACGATAAAAAACATAGTCTCGATTATCCATTTTTTGATTTAATCAGAAGCACCAGCCAGGGTTCTAATCCAGTAAATATCATAGGCTAGCGATGCCATCGAGAGTTGATTATGGTCTGGATAAGTTAATTAATATCTAATTAATAATTTAGATAACATTTCAGGCCTAAAGAAAGACCTGCAATTGGCATATTTAGCTCTTGCATAATGTATGTTTAAGTTATCAGCCAACTGGGCATTTCCCCTCACAAGTGGGAACTGGGGTCGACAAATCCCAAGGTTCTCAGCCCACACAGAGATTTGAACCATGGACATTGTAGTCGCAAGTCCACTCAGTCCAGTGTCCTTATTGCTCGACTAACCCCACCCCCCACCTACAGTGAAGGAAACCTTCTGAACAGCAGATTGGGTACAATAAATCAAACACCCCACTCACCTGGAATCTTCTATCAAACTGACAGAATTTCATAATAAGATAAGCATAATATGGGTTATATTCCTTTTCTTGTAAACAACATGACATAATCACATGAATTATCTCCCTTTCTTGTTGATGTTTTAAACCAAGACCAAGTAACTTCTCAAAAGCATCAACAAAATCCTATAAAAAGAAAACTTATTTAAACAATACAAATGTACAACAATGAAATATTCTATAAATAGTACCAATAAGTTAGTAAGTACAAGTAGCTCAGAGCTAAATGGAGACAGTTTGGAACGATGACCACAGGCACTTTTAAAACCCTCCCTGCAGTAACTGTCAACTGGAGAGGGTAGAAACATGATTAACGTTTAATTTTGACACAGAAAATAGGCAAATTTTAAACAATTAATAACTAATCACAGAATTTCAAGTCATCAATAATACGCTCACCAGCAGGGGCAATAATTAGTAAAACTATATTTGCAAGTCAGAATTTTGATAGATTTCTTTTTTATCATTATTCAAATAATCTCATTAAGTTTTAAAATAAATCTGCAAAACTCGAATCAGCAGAGCATTTATAAGTACATGTAACTGAAAAATCGCTATGTGACTATGAATGTCATTAGGGTTTATATCTCCTTGGGACTAGCAGAACTATCCCAACAAGTTCGGAAAAAACATATATCGAAATCTGTACAGTCTTTACAACAGGATGATTCTAAGTTTCAACAGGGTTCCTCCTTTGGACTAGCTGAACAATCCCAGAAAGTTTGACAACAAAAATTCCAAAACTCCAGTTTAAAAATAAAGCCCAAAAACTCTTACAAATAAGAATTTTGTTCTTAATCTTGAAACAAAATCAGAATTAACTTGGATGACCTACAGACCTAAAAACAAAACTCACAGTTTTCTATGAACAGGAAGCTGTGAAACACAAAGTACAAAATTCAACTTACCTCGCTAGTCATCAAAATAAGGAAAATACTCTTTCGTGTATCTGTATTCATTCTTTGTTTTTGTGCCAGTTCTAGTAAAGCAGAATTTGCTTCACTTAAGGTTTTACTGACAGATTCAGTAGCTGCTGTAAATAATAAGAGATACAGTAAGACTACAGTTAACCATTAGTTGGGGTAACTGAGAACAGTATTTACAGAGTAATGGCCAACCAGTAGTAGAGTCATAGTGATTTCACCTATGGTTCTGCAGTTTACATTGGCCCAGCTTCTCAGAACCCGATTTTGGCATATGCCTGTTTTCTTTGGAAACTGTAGCAACTAGATGTATATAATTACCTGTTACATCTTGTGTTGTATCTCTACCTGACCAAGCAGATCCAACTAACCACCATTTTCCTTGTTTATCAGCTTGTAATAAATCTTCTAGACTAATACATAACTGATTACTTGATAAATTACCTCCTGTTAGAAAAAAAACAAACTTTTAACATACATTGATTATATAAAAAAATCTAATAACATACACTGAATATATTCAAAGTTTCATAACATACACTGATTATATTCAAAAATCAAAATTAAAGTTAGGATTTATAAATTGACAACCATTCATCTGCTACTTAGAAATGTTTCTATCACTTACAGAAAATAAATATTCTCAGACAATCTTTTACAAAACTATGATGTTTGACAAATTTTTGTTTGTTTATTTTTGTGTCTCATTATCTTGTCAAACACCACATTTCAAGGTTCTATATTCATGTCAAATCTATGTTAATTCATACTGTTTAGAGTAATTCACTTACATAATTACTAACTCTTGTGAAACTGTCTAAACTATACTGTTACTATAAACTTTACCACACGGAATTACGAACATGCAGCAATCAATCAGATGGATTTATTTTGTTGAAATGAAACGATGTCAAACGAACCTTTAAAGTGACGTGATCTTATCTGAGAAAGAGAATTATTTCTTTTATATGACCTTACTGGGGACATTTTATTCTTCTTCCCTCCCCCACCCCCCATCTTCATACTTACCACGTGTAAAATTCCTTAAAAGCTTTTTCAGATGTTCCACACGGGTTGGATCATAGTTAGGTATTTTGCGCATGTTGTTATTTTTGATGGCTAGAATTATTTCCAACATGAACTGCACACGACTTTTTTCCACTATCGTGGTTTTATCAACATCTGTTGCTTTAGACTGCATCAGTTGAATAATTTCCTTCAGTTTAACAGGATCGTCCTTCCTCAGAGTAAAGCCAACATCTAGAAAAAAGGGAAAATGACATGTACTCTGTTGTCTGGCATAGTATGATGACTAGTATCTCGACAGGAAAAAGTTTGGCTTATTATGAAATTAAAATAGCTGCCAAATACTCAGTGCCGGATTAACCTATAGGCTTGGCAGCTTGAAGCCTAGGGTCTTAAGATCTAGGGATCCCCCCCGGCCAAGGTGTATAATAATCTTGACATAGAGTCATAAGCCTTTCTTATGTGCACTGTAGTCTTAAACATACATCATCATCCTCGACTTTACTCAATTGTGCTTAAAACACACTTTCATCTTCCTCTTGTCATGGGGCAGGCTATTATTATGGGCCTCCTAAGTGGAATACCCACAGTCTTATCTAAATCTGGCACTACATTTTGTATATAAAGGAGCTGTCCCAGATTCCAAGAGATGGGTTTACCGATATCTAGACAAGTGGCTTATTTTCCATTTAGCTCTAAGTGAAAAAAATCACCACTTTTGCTTGTTAACAGGGTTACATAGCTGAGATAAGGAATTGTCCATAATCGTGTGACAAGATAAATGCTGCTATCTTGTAAGCTTAAGTTTATAAATATTTGTATCCAGACACAAACACAGCATTGAGTTATACTGACTGATGACAACACTTGTAAACTGATCAGTTGTATTTCTTTTAAAAGCATCACAAAGATTTAAACTATTATAAATATTTCCATGAGCCGTTAAAACACATTTAATAAGATTTAATCACCTAAATATATCTAGGATTGCCCGTTCAACATAATCTATATTTATCAATACTAACGGCAATATGAAGCATTAAAGTAACGATATGTCATTTGCATTTTTCGCTAAAATATCAAATTTCTCCTGGCTTAATCCACACTAATATCAAAATCTGTTGATGCAAACAACATTCTTGTTTACTGTCTTCAATCATTAATGCCTCTTTTGCCTAGAGAAATGGAATTGCATAAAACTATTCTCTTTAAATTCTTTGGCCTGCAGACCATGACTATTTTCCCACCATTCCTCTTGTATTATGTTTGACTGTTTGTTGCATAGTTGATTAAACTCACTATACATTTAATAATATTAATGTCCACTTACTTTTTAATATAAATAATAAAAGTTCTATATCTCTTTCATTGAATGATAGAAGACATCTTTTTATAATATCAAACACAAGGTTACAGTGAACAACCTGAAATCAAAATACAATAAACACTAGGGACTGTTGTTGTTTATTGACTGCCTACACAAGTTTTGTAACAATTTCAACTAAATAATACTTTTAAATTTATTAAAGGAAAAAACCGAAAGCTATTTGATTGGAAATAAATGAAATGAAATGGGGTTTAACGTCCTACTGTTTTGCTCCGAACTGGGCTAATGAAGACAGGTATAAGCCATACAGTGTGCTATGAGGGAAATTTTGTCCAGACAGCGGCACTACAGCCTACTCTTATATTGAATTCTAACTGTCAAAGGATCTTTTACGTGCACACCAATTTGTACACTAGGCCTTGTTTTTTGTCCTATCCGAATGATTAGACAGCTGTCTATTCGATTGGAAGTAACTGCAGTTATTAAATAGAGTATGGAAGGACTGCAGACTCTGAATCAAACTATTTTACCTGATAGTTATAAAGAGTTGTTATCAACATCAAGATATTCTCCATGGTTTTTCCTACACCATAATTTGACTTGTTAAATAATTCATCCAATTCTGTCACTAGAGTCTGTAGAAACTGTGCACCTTAAAATATTTGTAAAAACATAAAGATTTATAATAAATCCATGAGTATTTGAAAGAGGTCTGTTATAAACTTGAACTAAAATGGAAATAAATGAAAGTTAAATTGATTTATCAGTTGCTATTATTGAATTTCAGACCCCCAGCTGCTGACACGGAACATTTTCTTTCACCTGCATTCATCAAAATATTGCCAAATAAACAAATGTGTGAAGCCTGGTCACCATACTGGCCTCTTTCCACTCAAATCCTATAAATTTAGCACCCAAATGAGCAGAAATATTGTTTCAGAGGGTATGATTTGATAAAACTCTTGGGTAATCCCCCAGCAGACTGCAAGCCAAACTTGTTGTCTTCAACCCGCAACCCCCCCCCCCTCCCCTCTCTGTTCCAATTTCTGATTACGCCCCTGATTAGTGGAACAAGTCAGAGTATACACATGAGTGTAGATTAGTAAGAATTGTGACTTTTCTGATACCATTTGACTGTTCAATGATAGACATGTCAACAATAAGAAGAAATTTCTTCAATCCAAAAGGTAATCTGACAAGTCAATTTGTCTATATCTTGTGGATCGAAGATTGGTTTATACATGTACTTCACATTATATATAGTAAAATATGTTTATGTTTATGCAAGTGATTTTTGATGGCTTGATATGTTACGGTAGTAGCCATATTACTGGCAGTGATGTAAATGTGTTGAGGGATGAAGGATGGGGTGTACACATGTCATTAAATCATGAATGGTCAATAATGGCATCTGTCAAGTCAATATATTATTGTCATTTTCCATTTATAATTAATATCATAGTGTGTGCCAGTCAAAGACAATATGCCCACAAGATTTAAAGTTAATCTGTAATCAGTTTTTACAAGGTTTCATTGACAGGGCAATAATTCCATGTATAAATGATGCCAGATTCTTGACATTGATACGGTTCACCCTAATGAAATCCCCAAAACCCCCCCAACAAATAATAAAAACAACTCATAAACCAGTAAGTGTTTACAATGTTTCTGTGGCAGGGGCAGTAACTCTGCATTAAATAAAAGGCTAAAATATGACTTACCAACTTCCATGCCAACATTATTGTGAAGAACAGCTACCAATAGCACTAATTCCTGACATAATCTCTCTGGGGTCAAGGTTGGTGAGATACAAGCGGCCATTATAAGTTGATTTAGAGTTTGACTAATGTCTGCACGGCTATAAGTTATGTGGAGTTCTTCTATTTGGTTACTTATTGACTGAATGTTGGCCTCACTCGCTCTAAAAATATGTTAGTATGGTAACTAAATTTATTACAACAAATTATATGTCAATTAATATCAAAGACATTATTAATATACATATACCAGTGATTCTCAACCAGAGTGCCGCGAAATTTTGAACAGCACACTAAGAAAATGTGAAAAAAAATGAGTATTCATTGGTGTCTACTGATAAGTTCATAGCTGTGTTTTTCATTATTTAGTTTGAGTCTTTATATATGTCTATGACTAGTCTGTGTCTACGGTTGTATGATGTCTGACTTACCAAGTTTATATTTTGCAAAATTATTTAGGCAGGTGTGCCACTATTTTTTCAAGTCTTCCATGGTGTGCCGTTGGCAAAAAAAGGTTGAGAACCACTAACGTATACAAAGGACCAATACAGCCTTTTATTTGACATCTGCTAAGTACCATAAAAAATGAATATGGGACTACTTTATTTAGTAAATCTGGGCATCAGTTTGGGCAATCCATTGTCTCTGTATTGGTAATGTTTAATATAAGATGGTAAGCTAAGACAAAACTCAAAATTATGAAACAAATATAATCCAGGCTTTTATGTATAAATAAATTGCTCTTCATACCTGTTTATTAAACCTTTAAGCTGTTTCTTTAACTTTTCTAACACCTGTTTTCTACTTTCACTTTCTCCCATCATCATAGCTCGACGTGCAGGAGGAATATAGGCTCCCCCACCTCCCTTTCTCTCACTCTTTGAGCTTAAAACATCACCCTTAGAATTTTTAACACGCCCATAAATATCTTCCTGCAATTCTTCTTCAGATTCTGATTCTTGATTCAGTTTCTTTTTTTTCTTAAGACGACCATATATATCTTCTTCAAACTCACCATCACTGCCATCATCTTCAACTTTCAGCTTAGTATCTGAGGTTTCTGCATCATCCTTTCCTTTCACTTTAGTTTTCTTCTTTTTCACTAAAGGTTCTTCTATTTCTTCTCTCCAAGAAATAGATTTCTGATCACTAGATTCATTCTTAGAAAGTTTTTTAGTTTTTAAAATTGATTTAGGTTTTGTTTTTGTGTCTTCATCTGATTCATTATCACTATCATCCATATCTGAACCACTTTCATCCATAATAGGGAGTCTTCTTATGATATTTTGGTCATCTGACTCAGCATCCTCATCAGAATCATCGCTAGGCTCTTCCATTAAATCATCTTCATCTTTATCGTCATCTTCCATTTCCATATCTGATTTTAGAAAAATAGATAATATGCTTTTACTGAACCATGACCCCACTACAGAAGCTACATATGATTGATCACTTGTAGTTTTGTAGCACGATTTAGATGAAATTAATCGGTATATATTTGTAAAAATAGAATATAATACTATAACATTGCTGTGTAATAGTTACGTGCTAAGATAATTGAATTATCCATGACAAAGAAGTATAAGTTGTTTTAAAATCAGTAGAGATACTCTGTCCCAGATGTGACAGATAGCTACATACTGACACCTATATTTGGATTCAGTTACCTTTCCATAAAACAGAGATTCTACCTAATTAGCACCAGTGAGAACCAATTGGCACCAGTTAGAAACTATTGGCACCAGTGAGAACCTATTGGCACCAGTGAGAACTGAACCTGATAGTGCCAGTAAGAACCTGATAGTGCCAGTTATAACCTACTGACACCAGTGAGAACCTATTAGTGCCAGTTAGACCATACAAATTGCTAGGCTATATGTTTCTTATTATCATCAGAATATTCATAAAGTTTGGATTCATCTGGTCTTAATCCAGAACACATCTCTGAATAGCTTATTCCCCAAACACAGTCTTAAACTACGGTGTTTATATATAAGGTGTATTATGTCTATCATTACGTTAAAATCGCTTGTGGTCAGAAGAGTCTTGAGTAAACCAAAGAGACAGGTAATCCTACTTCTTGTCACCTACAAGCAAGAGGACTTGGAGAGATAATAAACCTTATACCGGCATCAGACTACTTCATTAATTATCCATTAATTATAATAATGTGAAAGTAGACCTGGCAGTATTTCTTCTTCATCTGATTCTGTTAACCAATCAGGTTTTTCTTTCTCATAATCAATATCTGTTTTCCCATCTACCACCTCTAATAAATCTACCATATCATCAAGGAATAAACAAAATAAACGAAGAAGAGGAAATCTGTCTGTAGTTGTAAAGTACTGTATGGTACAATTTCATACATAGGGGTCTTTGGCAGTGGGTGGAAACCAGAGGTCCCAGGAAAAAACCATGAGGTAGGGTAGGCAGAAGACCACATTTGACTCTATTACAAACCTTATGATCTAAAGGACACATATTAAGATCATCTACCCACACGCACCGCCCCCCCACACCCGCAAGACCCCTTAGTCCATCTTGTACAAGAATAGTTGCATATTCATTCAGAACACTACAATCTGCTATATGATCACTGATGCAGATAGCATTAACATATCTCTATACATTGTTATTCCATAAATAGTGTTAGTGTGTTACTGTTCAATTACCAAATGCCACTTTGAAGTATACATTTGCTTCTCATATAAATAATTAAGGGTGAAAAAGTATTATGTTTCAATTCAAGGATACAATCCAACCCATCATTAATAAATCCTTGAGGCAAAGTCTTTCGTCTTTTATTCAGATTCAATTTCTTCTCCAATTCTTTTAATGATTGCTCTTCCACTTTCTGTATTTTTTTCATTTCTTGTTCTTCCTCTCTTTCAGCATTCAACCTTTCTCTCTCAGCTTCTCTCTTAACCTATAATATAAATAATCCTTGTGGCATTCTTTTAAAACAACACTCTCATTCTAGTGATCATCAATAATTGTTAACAATTTAATCTTTGAAAAGGCAGCATGTATAAACAACGTTTAACCTATCACTATTAACTGTTTCAGTGACATTTCATAAGTGTAAAGAATTCAGGTACTGGTACATGATAGAAGTTCAAATGTAAATATTTTATATTTAAGATGTATTATGTAAGAGCGACAGCTGCCTTTGCTGGTCGTTTTTCTGGCTTGAATTGTTATATGAATTATTATTTAGACATTTATTCACAAGACGAGCCCATATTCAACTCTCTATTTTTACCTTTTTCTTAATCTTCTTTTCTTTTAATTTGGCGATTTTGTTTTGTATTGTTTCTTTTTTCTTCTTCTTCTGCTCTATTTCTGTTTGGAATTTTATTTTCTTCTGTTCAAGGTACACATCTAACGATGGCATCTATAAGATATTAAACATGTATAGGCCTACATCTTAATAAAGTATGATACCCATTTCATTAGCACTGTTTTACTAATAATTTCCATATTTAGGCATACATGTATAGTAGGACTATCCCTGTTCAAATATTATCAAATATTTTAACCTTGTGAATCATGAGTCGAATGTGGTACCATAATTTTGAAAATGTGCAATGTAATTTGTTGATGATTGTGTTTTGACATTGATCTTCAAGTTCAAGATCAAAAGCAGCAGAGTGCACACCTGTGAATTTCCACACAAAATGATTCCATACAAATGTCTGTCATACAAATCTATGACTGATTATATAGACCACTGCCATGATTTATAATTTAACATAGTCCACAGGTACGTACATCCTTCAAGTTGTTGCACCATTGGCAACAATTGTCGGAGCACTTCAATACTCACCTCCTCTTTTCTATGAAATGCATTTTTTTTCAGTTTCTTTAATTTTCTGAATTCTTTTCTCTTTTGTTTTCGAGTTAACTTATCATTCACTAAATTTATTTTGAATAATTTTTGTTTTCTGGTATTGTCATTTGATTTCTGACCATTTTGGTTCTGTTTACCCTTCTTTTTCGTTACTTTCGTGAAATTTTTCTTTTCTTTCATGGCTAAAGCTACTTATATACCAGGCTGTCACAAATAAAGATTAACACTTATGCCACTTTTGAAAGAGATATCAAAATTTTAGCAACAGATTTTTTAGTTCATGCTTTTTCATGGGCGCAGACATATTGGATAGTCTTGACTGTCCAACAAGAGTAATTTGTAGTAAGGGTACAGTTTGTGACTCTATAATTAAAGAGTATGATTCAGAGTTATTCCCCTTAGAAAAATACGAAAGTGCAAGTTGACAGGAAGAGATAATTAAGACAGATTGTCACAGACAGAGGTATAATCTTTAGCTGAAGATAGAGAAAGAAAACAATGTCAATTGTGATAAGATATTGTCACATTATGATAAGATGCTTTGATATTATCATCTAGTTTTGAATAGTTTATTAAATGACAAGATATTGTGGGCGTTAGTCACGCGTATCATGTGATTTGTTTTCGCTTATGACAAAACCACAAAATTCAGTCTGATTCAGTGATTGCAGTCAAGTGAGGGCGATTTTGTAGTTTTGACATATCATTTATTGTTCTACTTTATATACGATTTACTAGGTAGCTATTTTTAAATGCATATTTTTTAGACAATGAGATAACATTCACTATGAAAAAATGAGATATGATCTTGAATATTTAATTTGAAGAGTTACAATCTCTTGATTTTATTTCTCTAGAAGAGTAGAAGAGAAGCAAATCTAAATGTTTTATCATTAACCAAATGTGTCGTGCGAAATTCATCAACAAAAATTCCTACATATAAATAAAACATGTTTATTAATGAAATCTTGCTAAGACTTGTTACCTAAAATTCTAGGTAGGATTTATATAAGATTTATTGACACAATGACACCTTATACTGTTCATTTCAGGGAGAATCTTATCATCTACCATAATGGTGCAACAAATTCTTGCCGTGGTGATTCTTGTCACTCTGGCCACCATTCATTCAGGAGAATCAGCTAGAGCTCTAAGGAGAATGTTTCCAAGTAAAATAGCTCCTATGTGGCAAAATGGTGTAGATCCTGGAGAACCGGCCTTCCTTACCCCATATTTGGAGAAAGGAGAAATAGACAAAGGTATTGATAATCCGTTGTTTTATTATCATTTTCTTTTAATAAAATTTGAGAAACTGATTGATTGAAATTTTATTTTTTAAGTGATTCTAAAAGGTCAGATGGACTTAACTGCAATTTCCTTAAAAAAAATAAAAAAAAACACTATAAGAAAATATGTAAGTTCTAGAACAGGAAAGGATCAGCTCAGCTAATAAAGTATAATATATTATTGGGTTTTATGGATAGTATTGGATGGTGTTATTTTAAATACTGTACCAAATAGTATTGTTATTGTAATGATAAGCTTACATATTTTTTGTGTATTTTAGCTCGACAAGTGAGTCTGGTATCAGATTTACGTGGTATACCCATCAAGAGTTATTCAGGATTATTGACCGTCAATGAAACCTACAACAGTAACATGTATTTCTGGTTCTTTCCTGCACAGGTAATTGTAATTTACCATAATCAAAATGTTGGTTAAGACTTAGACTAGAGAGATAGCAGAGGGATAGGGAGATCAGGCCCACAACAATAACTGAAACCTGAGATCATTCGACAGCCCATTGTCAATGAAAGTGAATGAAATTGTTATAAGTATACCAGAGATGTGTTGGTATTACAAGCATCAGACTGTAGATTTTTCACAATTTTCAGTTAGTTAAACATACATTATGTAAGAGCTAAATCTGCCTATTGTAGGTCTTTCTTTAGGCATGAAATGTTATATAAACTATTAATTAGACATTAATTAACGTATCCAGACCATAATCAACTCTCGATGTCAACGCTAGCCTGCGATAATGATCCGATTTGCTGCATAACTTTCCTTCTCGATTTAACGATTAAATGGATAATCAAGACTATGATTTTTGTCGTACCGACTTTAGTAATGATGACCGAGTCTATGCGGAACTTTCGATCGCTTATTTCTCAGTTCATAGTGGATCAATTTGACTGAAATTTTCATCAAATTGACTTTACATTATCTAGTTTTTAACTATTATAGTGAGAACTGCCATTTCGTTATCGAATCTCTCATAATGTATCTTTAAAGAAAGTGATAAATCTTAACCATAACAAACTATATAGTCCCATGAATAATTAACTATTATTGAAGAATATGTGTAATTCATTGTTTCCAGATGCACTTTGTGTTACTATGGTTACATGAGGACGGGCAAGATTGATAAGCTTTGACCATTTATTAGCAAAGATTCCCACCAAACTTTATATGAAATAATTTGATTTCTGCTAGAAAATTTAGTTTTATTTATTTCTATAAGGTAAATCCAGCAGATGCACCTGTGTTGCTATGGTTACAGGGAGGACCAGGAGGATCCTCATTATTTGGTTTATTTGTAGAACATGGTCCTTATACAGTTTTAGAAAATGGAACCTGTAAGTCCTTGTTATTTTCTTGGCTTTGGTGATAACCTTGAAGTTAGGACTAAAGGTAGTCGAATACGGTAATCCCAGAAGGCTTTAGACTCTAAAACTTGTCATTTGTAAATTGTTTTCAACAATCATGACTGTATAGACAGCAGGAATTGGTTGGGACAATATTTTTGAAATACAATTTTTAATATAGGTTTACATCCTGGTAGCGGGAAACTTTTCTGCATTTCTGTCAAAAGGATGAACATATTAATATACTCAGACTACATGTATATATTGGTTACCAGCAGCTCAATGTGTATAATTGGTTCACTATAACTAGAAGGTCTCAGGTTCTTTGCCGGTGTTGGCTGAAAAGGTTACATGGGGGCTTCCCTGCCTGGTTTCCCCTTTCTTAATCGCAAGGAAAAGCATCTTGTTGTTTCGTAAAGGAACCATTGACAGGTTGAATTCTCTTATAACATAATGCATGGCATATGCCGATCTTCATTATCTTGTTTTTTACAGAAATGTAGGATGTTAATTAAACCCCATTTCATTTCATTATATGAGTTCCCAGATGATTTGATTTTTCAACCTACAAGGTCTAACATAGCTATAATTATGTATTACACTTGCACTATGATGAGCTGATAAACACATGTTTTACAATCTGTAATAATTAACTTATTTAATTTGTTGTGGGTAATTTAAATTGTCCAATTTACATGTGATTTTATTTTTCCTGGTCATTAGAAATATCATACTTTCAGATAAAACCAAGTTTTGTTGGTCAACTGATGACTTAATATTTTTAGATTCTTATTTAATTATGTACATGTATTAAATTTTGTATTTTTAGTGACAAGAAAAAATGTGACATGGAATGAGAAATACTCCATGCTATATATTGATAATCCTGTAAGTAAATCAATTGGCCAATAATTAGAAAAAAAGACTGAAAACTATGTAATTATAACAAAAAATTTAAGTCAAATACAATCTTGATCTTCATGGATCAATATACTTTTCGATAAGAATACCTTTTATTGTCTGTTATCTGAAAGTCGGGAATATTGTGGCTTTAATGATAAATCGTAACTTTATAGAGAGAGAGAGAGAGGAATGGGGTTTAACGTCCACTTGATACAAACTAGGTCATTTTGGGACTAACATATGGTTTAATTTTATTTCAATAATTCGCTTGCGCGTAGGGGTCTTTAGCAGTGGGAGGAAACTGGAGGACCCAGAGAAAACCCACGAGGTTGGACAGGCGACCCTACTCCTTGTCACATACAACCGGGGATTCAAAACCATGCCAGTTGACTCAATGACAGGTCTTGTGATACAGCGCGCACATGCTAACCATTCGCCCCCCCCCCCCCCTCCGTAACTTTATAAAGACTATATTGAAATTGATGGAATAAAAATAATAAGAGGAAATAACTTATGGAAATAAATACAGGAAATAATTTATCGAAATAAATACAGGAAATGAATACAGGAAATAAATACAAGAAATGAATACAGGAAATAGATACAGGAAATAGTTAAAATAAAGATTAAGTCACTCAACTTATAATATAAGTATAGGAGGGAAGGAACAGGGGTACTTTGGATAATATTTTACATTTTATAGACCAGAGCTAACTAATTCTATTTTAAAGGACAATATTGGTGCCAGTCATTATCACATATGTGATAGAGCTGGTTAAACACATTCCAAATATAATTTTAACACAGAGATCATTGCTACGATAGCTGAGTAATACAGGTTTCTGGAGTCGGAAGTGACAAACGCCAAAGGAAAACACGAGTCATCTCTCTATATAACTGACTGATGTGACAAGTGATAACGGATATACGGCCGAATTTCTGCTCACTAATAATTCCTTCGAAGACCAAAAGTTGATATATGTGACTGTAAGAGGATACCTGACAATTCAATAAAGTAATTGAATGTCATTAGATAAGAGAACATGGGAAAAATAGAAATAGTCCGTACATTCCCATGTTTATATTCATTCTATATCTTATAAAAACATGGTAATGCACAGACTTTTTCTGTTTTTCTTTCGTGTTCACTTATCTAGTGGCAGTCAATTCTTTTTACGAATTGTCAGATATCCTCTCACAATCTCATACAACAACTTTTGGTCTTCGAATGAAATATTAGTGAGCAGAAATTCGGCCGTATATCCGTTATCACTCGTCACATCAGTCAGTTATATAGAGAGATGACTCGTGTTTTCCTTTGGCGTTCGTCACTTCCGATTCTGGAAAACTCTATTACTCAGCTATCGTCGCAATGATCTCTGTGTTAAAATTATATTTGGAATGTGTTTAACCAACTCTATCACATATGTGATAATGACTGGCACCAATATTGTCCTTTAAGGTTACATGAATAATTACCATTATTTGTTGTATGTTTTTGTTTCAGGTTGGTACAGGTTTTAGTTTTACTAAAGATGATCGTGGATATGCAACCAATGAAGTGGATGTTGGCATCAATTTATACAAGTGAGTTTAAAAGGTGTTCTGTAATCGGATAGAAAAATATGATTCCATGTATGCATTGGAGTGTGTTCAAAAGAACTCTTGTAAGTTCCAATTTGATATAAAAGTATCCTGTAAAGCCACTGTCAGGGCAGAATTCCCCTCATAAGACACTGCATTGTGTATGCTTGTCGTCATTAGTCTGGGTGGTGTAGAAAAGTAGTTCATTAAACCCAATTTCATTTCAATTTTTCAAACTTTAAACTCAACCATGAGAGTTGTCATGAACAATAAGCAATGTAAATGATTTGGGTAAGAAATACTGGTATTTAAGTTGTTTTTATAGAGTGGAGAACATTAAAACAAGGTAAATTACCAACAACATAAAAATTTTATTACAGAGATTCTTTTAATAAAAAAAATGAAACAGGTTGAATTTTTATAATTCTTTTACTCTCCTTTTTTGTTTGTTTTTAGAGCTTTAGTGCAATTTTTTCAAATTTACCCAGAATTCCAGAAGAATGAATTTTATGTAACTGGTGAAGTAAGTTTCATTCCTTAAGTTTTATTTTTTCATTTCCTTTAAATCATTCCTACAAATCATTCCTTCAAATCATTCCTTCAAATCATTCCTTCCAATTTTGATTATAGTTGTCATTTGGTACTAGAAAGAGGAAACATTGTATATTCACTGAGCACATCCATTGAGCATTGGATATTTTATAAAAGGGTTGACCACCTAATTACTAAATCAATCCTGCCTATTATCAATCGAGATTAGTAATAGTTATATTGTTGGGAATTTTGAATATGATTCACCATATCTTGATGTCCAGCATATATGGGTGAAACAGCAAATCGGGTTGAGATCCATTGAGCATTGACTGGGCATTGGATACAGTCAGTGCAAAACAAGGCACACAAGAGTGATAGGTTTTAATTGGCATGAATCTGTTGGGCAAGCTGTCTAAATGAATCAGTTATTTGTGTACAAATTGTTTACAAAGTGATTGATGGTTTCATTTGAGTCCGCAGCTTCCAAATCATGTTAGTTCAAAGCAGAATTAAAGTTTTATTTAAAATTTAAAAGCCGAATAGTGAGGGATAGAATTGACAATTTCAGTTAATAATTGAAGTCAACAGCAGCACATAGATGACATCTTGGGGCCATCAAGTACAGCTGTCTCTAAACTATAGTTGTTCTCAATAGACACAGACATTTTGGTCAAGGTAGTACACATCTCAAATGGAAATGTAATACAGTATTTGATTGGATGTTTAACGTAAGAGTTTGACATGAAGAGATTTTGAAATGTTTAAGAATATTTCAAGGGTTTGGGCCTGGCTGATCATGTGGACAACCATCTGTTGGCCCAAGTAAAGGGAAATTGAATGACATAAAGATTGCAAGATGGCTGCCTTAACCTAAAAAAATGGAATACCTGATTGGTAATAACCAAAATGTATCTAGCTACTATCTTTGAACTTTTTCTTCAGAAACAACTTGCATAAGCATGACTGATTTTTGTATATTTTATAGTCATATGCTGGTAAATATGTTCCAGCTATATCCTATAGAATACATTTAGAGAACCCTGCAGCTAAAGTCAAGATTAATTTTAAAGGAATGGCTATAGGTGATGGTCTTTGTGATCCAGAGACTGTAAGTTATATAATTTTGTGTATTTAGATGCATGGTTATATTAAACAGAAAATAGCAGACGATGCTGGATAAATGCTTAACAAAACATAGATTAGCTTTTCTATTTATTTCCAGGCACCAGCTATATGTGTCGTAGACAAATAATTAATAATAATTCTATCTTTTTCATACCATCCATCCCATTTTGCATGACATTTTGTATTTGAAATGTGCTACTGTTATGAATCAGTTAAGCTAATGATGAAGACAACATGCAGTGGGCTGACTGAGAGAAAAATTTTGCCCTCACAGTGGCGTACGAACTACTCTTATTGCAAATTCCAACTGTTAAGGATTTATTTCATCAGTTTGGTTTTTCATCCCATCCAAATGACTAGACACTTTTCCTTGCCAAGTCGTCCTTCCTGGACTACTAACAAGAGGAAATCACTATCTCGACCAACACCAGGATTGAACGCGGTAAGTGAGCCACCGTTTTACTCACTGAGCCACCTTTGTCTCCTTGAATGTTCTTAATTAGATCATAACAGCATGAAAATAGTTCATCTAATTAGCAGAGCCACGGTGGCTAGGTGGTTAAGGCGCTGGCTCGCTAGCCTGGAGGTCAGGTGTTCGATCCCTGCATTGGCCGAGAAAGTTCATCGGGATTTTCCAGAGTGGTTTCCCCTTGTCAGTGGTGCAGAACGGAGGGCCTGACAAAGACAGCTGTCTAGTCCTTCGGATGAGACGAAAAACCAAGGTCCCGTGTATACATTGGAATGCACGTAAAAGATCCCTTGGCAGTTGGAATTCGATATAAGAGTAGGCGATAGTGCCGCTGCCCGGGCAAAATTTCCCCCATAGCACACTGTATGGCGTATGCCCGTCTTCATTAGCCCAGTATAGGAGCAGAACAGTAGGACGTTAAACCCCATTTCATTTCATTTCATCTATTTAGCCTTTTGAAATACATGTGTTGTCTTTATTTCAGATGATGTCACAATATGCCCCCTTTATGTTTAGTATTGGTACTCTGGATGAAAATCAAAGGGATTATTTTCAGAATTTATCTGATATTGCCGTACAAGATATTAAAGCTGGAAGATATATGGATGCATTTAAGGTAATGGTATATTTTAATGGCAATTTCTGCCAAACGTGACAATTGTAATAGCAGATTGATTGTAGGATAAATATTGAAATAAATGGCTCTTGTTAACTTATAGGAGGTGTTGACATGTCTAGTAAATTTTTGTTTACTTATATTCAGCATTACATTTATCCCGGAGTTGATTGGATTTACATATGTCCTAAATTAAAAAGCAATGTAGCTGTCACATTTTAGGCATAGTAGGGGGTGAGCTATCAGACTCATGAAAATCCATGATTTAAAAGTATTTAAAACTCAGAATGGGTAAAGATAATATTTTTCGTTAATTTTTAAGTCAACCTGTTGGGTTGGAAATGAAAATGACAAAAAAATCAAAGTTACTAAACTGGACTTAAAGAAGAGTAAAATTCTCATCTCTGGCTTATGCATGTACCCATACAAAATATAAATAACCATGGGTCATCTCCAAATGATTTGATTTTATGTTATGATGCAACACCTGATCATCTGATTCTGTGAATTAGCATGTTTTTTTTTTATTCTACAGATATTTGATGAGTTGTTAAATGGTGATGAAACAACCGGTCCACCATTTTATCAACAAGCTACTGGTAGTACTGATTATTATAACTTCCTTAGAATTAAAGTAAGTAAAACCTGGGTATAAAGATTATTTCATGGTTACTGATTGATGAACCTAAGGGAGGTAACTATGATGTCTTATTTTGGTGAATGTATTATCTTGGCATATTGTTATTAATGAACAAGAAGCCAAACCATGGTTGTTTTATTGACCACATCTCATAAAGGATTCAGAAACCATGAAACAATCTATTATTGCATAACTTAATGTTTCATTTTAAATTTTGCTTAGTATATACCAATATTTTCAATTATAATAATATTGGGTATTTAAAGGTAATGTAAGAAGTAAATTGAGTATTCAAAGTTAATGTAAACAGTAAATGTTAATAATATTGGATATTCAAAGTTAATAGTAAATGATAGTAATATTATTGTGTATTTAATGAAAGTAATAACAAATATGGCTTCCACCTGCATCATAAACTATTTTATTTATGCAATAAAATTATTACTTATCCTCACATATCCCTTGTTTTGTCCTTTCTAATAATAGGTAGTACATTTTGCAGTGGAATCTGACATAGGGCTTACAAAATATTAAATTTCAGGGTGTATTTGAGAGGTTTAATTAGATTTAGGATCACAGGATTCAGTTTATACCTTGAGGGATTAAAGAAGTTCATATGTTATACATTAAACTGACACCATTTGCTAGAATATAACTTTCTTGTAATTTTGAAAAGAAAATCTTAAAACACCTGCTTGAATAGGTCAAGTGCCCAACTCTATGAGTTAAATTGTGAAATTTTTAGAATGAAATGCTTAATCCCCCTGCTTACTGCTTAAATGCTATTAAAAGTCGAGACATATGGTTTCTTTTTCCAGTCTCCAGATTCATTTGGTTATTATAACAATTTGTTGGCTGATCCCAGTGTTCGTAAAGCCATACATGTTGGTAATTTGACTTATAATGATGGCTCAACAGTAGAAAAATATCTCACTAATGATTTCATGCAGTCCGTGAAACCATGGATATCTGTTCTTCTTGATAATTATAAGGTAATAAATGCTTCTTTCTTTTAAGTCTCCAGATTCCTACAATTATTACAACAATTTGTTAGCCGATCCCAGTGTACGCAAAGCTATTCACGTCGGTAATTTGACTTATAACGATGGCTCTAAAGTAGAAAAAATGTTAACAAATGATATTATGCAGTCGGTAAAACCGTGGATTTCTGTTCTTCTCGATAATTATAAGGTGAGATATGATGGCTTTACTGCATGTGACCACTTACTTAATATTACTACCTATGGTTTACTATGGCTGATAATCTTAATTACAATATATTCAAAGCTATCAATTAATTAAGTAAATAGAAGTGAAAATGAAATGAAATGGGGTTTAACATCCTACTTTTCTGCTCGACTAGGCTAGTGTGCTAGGAGGGTCTGGACAGTGGTTCTACATCCTACACTTATTTTGAATTCCAACTGTCAAGGGTCCTTTTACATGCATGCCAATGTGTACACGGACCTCAGTTTTTCATTCTTTCCCAACAACTTGTCCTACACTACCGACAAGGGGGAACCACGCCGGAAAATCCTGATGACCTTTTTCGGGCCAACGTAGGGATCGACCACACTCAGCCACCTTTGCTCCCTTTTAATAGATAAGTCTGGTAAACTGAACATAAAATGAAAGAAACATAAAATGAGGAATTTGTACATAACATCATTGAATATCGATTTGGTTCAATGAACTCAAATGACATATATTATACATGTATAATGTCTATGTCTGCATTATAACAACCTTTAATAGTTACTGGCTCTAGTGAACCATCAAAGACCATGGTTTTACCAAGGTGAAGATGAGAATAAACTAGAATTTTGGATTTAGAAGTGAAATTTCAGACTCGCTTTTCCTAATAAATCTATTTTTGAAATGGTTCTTATTTATTATTATATAATGATTTGTATATATGTTAAATTGTAGAAGGCTAAAGATTTGTTATAGAATAATATAATCTTGTTATTTATTAAATAATCATGTTATTTATTAAATAATCATGTTATTTATTATAAATTGAAATAATTATATTATTTGTTCTAGAATAATATAATTATGGTATTTATTATATAATAATATATTCATGATATTTATTATAGAATGATATAATCATGGTAATTATTATAGAATGATATAATCATGGTATTTATTATATAATAATATAATCATGTTATTTGTTATAGAATGATACAATCATATTATTTGTTATATAATAATATATTCATGTTATTTACAATACTATATTATTAATGTTAGAACAAAATCATCAATATGGTCATGTTATTTGTTATATAATAATATTATTTACAATACTATATTATTGATGTTAGAACAATATCATCGATATGGTCATGTTGTTTGTTGTGTAATAGTACATATATAATCATGTTATTTACAATACTATATTATTAATGTTAGAATGACATGGTCATGAAATAACCGTTATGATCAAAGGACAAAAATCCTGTTCTTATAGACTCCTGTTATTATATAACAATGTATTTAATAATCATGTTATTTATTATATTTTAAATATAGGTTATGATTTACAATGGACAGTTAGATATTATTATAGCAGTACCATTAACTGAAGCATGGTTACAGACTGTACCCTGGTCTGGTTTAGAGAAATATAAAAGTGTAGAGCGTAATATCTGGAACTGTACTCTATGTGGTGGAGAAATAGCTGGGTACTATCGCCAAGTTGATAATTTTTATCAGGTAGGTATATTATTACATTCCTCTTTCATTAATTTATAAACTCCAAAAAGTACAAAATTGTGCTGCTAGGCTAATAACACAAACAAAACAGTCCTCACATATTACTCCAGTATTGTACAGTCTTCACTGGTTACCAATTCAATACAGAATTAAGTTTTAAATTCTGCTTTATACATACAAATGTCTCAACAACCTCTGTCAGGCATATTTATCAGAACTTCTTGAATTGTATACCCCTAAACGCAACCTCCATTCTTAGTTCATTTTGTGATGTTCCTTAGTTCATGTACAAAACAAGCCCCCTACTTTGGAACAAATTAACACTAGATATTATTCTTAATCTTTCAAAACAAAAATTTAATCTCACACCACTAATGCAAGGAAAACAAAAGAATTTTGGGGTGTAATTCTGCCAATTATTATCAATTTCTTGACCAAAATTTACAACTTTTTAGGATTATCAATAATTATATTTTCTTTTTTTCAGGTTATTGTATTGGGAGCGGGACATATACTACCCCATGATCAACCTTTAAGAGGCTATGAAATGATTCAGAGATTTGTAGAAAATAGATCATTTTCTTAATTAACTATTCCATTTAAAATTTATTTGTATTTCTTTATCATTGTTAAGAATGTTTGAATAATAAATATTTTTTTTTATTTTTAAAAATTCAGAATTAAATAGAGGGATTTAAAGCAGATAAATGCCCACATTTATCGCGGCAAAATGAAAGAAAAGGCAATAGGTATATTCAGACCAAATTTAATACACCCTCGGAGCCGCAGTGAGTGAAGATGCTGGTTTTCTAACCTAAAGTTCCTGGGTTTGGTCGGCTGTTTAAATCCTCTGGATTTTGCATGTGGTATCCCCTTGTCAGTGGTGCAGGACAAAGGGTCGGCCATGGAACAGTGTCTTGTCGTTCGTATGGGACAAAGGCCTGAGATCCTAAATAAATATTGGCGTTCATGTAAAAGACCGATGACAGTTGGAAATTGAAATAAAGAAAGGTCGTAGCGCCGACGTCCAGTCAAAATTTCCGCCATAGAACACTGTATGGTATTCCCGCTTGGTGCACAACAGTAAGTAGTACGTGAAACCCCCATTTAATTTCATTTACACTGTCAAGATTATTATATTAACGTCACTCGTGGTAATGGTTGGGCCTTTGTGTTCATCCACCCGTTTAGATTTTTTCTTGTTCTTCGTGTTGGTATCCAAAAAATCCTAAGGCTCAGTGAATTCATGTCAGACCAACATGAAAATTGGCATGCTTCTTCTTTAAACAATTTTGCATCGATTTAGTGAATTAGATATTTGAATTTTACCCAACAACATGGTCAGTTCCTGGTACATAGAACGATCGTACTTGTTTGTGCAGTTTCTACAGACAAGACTTTGGTATATACAAACAATTATGAGAAGATAAAACTTTGAAATTCGGTTATACATATTACAATTTTGTTTCCAATGCCTTTGTGTGAAAAACCAAATGCAAAATAGCCTTCTGAATTTGGTGTTTTGAAGTATTGATAAAAACCATCGTTCATCAAGATCCCGAACAACTAACAATGGAACTGATTTGGTCTCACTAAACCATAACTTGAGTTTAAAGTAAGACTGACATTTACTTTTGGAAGATGATTGAAAAGAAAAAAAAATCAATAATAATATGAAATTGCACAGATGAAATATATAAATGGCTGCACAATCAGGCTTGTAGAGAGTCGCGTATGGTAGGTATAATACGTGCCCTGGTCGGCACTTGAAGAGGGTGCCACTAAGAGTTAGCTACTCCTGCAGCGAGCAATTTGCACCAGTGAAAGCAAGGTATGGAGTGGAATTGTTATTTTTTATGTAGTGCCATAATTTGTTAGTTAAAGATGAACGAAATTGACTTTTGGAATGATTATATGGTAAAGTTATGTAAGGGTGTGGGGGGGGGGGATGTTTTAGACATGGGCGCAATTCCAGTTCTTGCCATAGGTGCTATTTTCCGCGAATACGCCATTGTTTGTAGATAACCAATATCAGTATCAAACTTATTACAACTACAGATATGAACCAAAACGTCATAATAGGCGTTTTTGTGAGTCGATTAGATTAGGTTTTGATTTGCTAGTACGATTTGGTATGATTTCGATTTGATTAGCTATGGTCCACAAATGTGAAATTTGATAATTACGATTTGGTAAGATGGCTGCCACCACGGACACCGATCAGAAAAAAAATTGTCTCTGCTAACATGACGAGGGGGGCGTGTGTTTCACGTGTAGTCCAAGTTACCTACAGATTACAGTGACACTGCTCGCACCCAGAGGGCCTAAAATTGCTTAGAGCCAGAGGTGATCTAACATTCTTGTGGACTATAAAGTTAACATTAAAGGAGCTAAATCGCTAACATTTGGGACCTCGAAATTGACAAAATTAAGTGGGTCGCAATGCATATAATACTGTAATATGAATGTATATAAACTGATTTACATTCAAAGGTTTCCGTTTTTACTCCAATTTCAAATCCGTTATGTTCGGCAAAATAAGCCAGCAGTCTCAAGCGAGTGCAAATTTCTAGCGTCTGGTTATTCCAGTTTACATACGCCGTTTGATTTGGTGCAATGTGTCTAGCCTCGTCCCTCGAGTCTCTTGATACAACTAGGGCTGAAGCGCATTACGGTACACGATTCGTGTACCAATGGTAAAATGTTTATTTTGTCTTAAATATTGGATATCAAAAGCCCATCTTTTCCCGTTAAGATCACAACATGAATGTTGATATAATTTGACAAATAAATCGTGTTTTCTATGTTGAAGATTTTGGATGATATTGAGTTAGAGACTTAGCTACTTTAAACACATCAAATGCGTTTTAAAAAAAACATTTTTTATGGAGAAAAACAACAATAAGCATTAAAAATTACTTACGATGTCGAACATTCCGCCATTTTGAAAACGTCAAATCTAATCGCCTAAACACCTCCTGGGACGATTATCATTAGGTCGATTTGCCTAATCAGTTGAGTTAAATCGTCTCACAAATGTAACGATTAGCATAATCAACTTGGTTCACAAATTCGTATAATAGCTAATCGGTCTAATCTAATCGGTTCACAAAAACGCCTAATGAAATAACGTCAATATATAAATGTATTGTGATGTTATAATTACTTTACGTCAAAACAATTACATTTTTTAGAGAATCGCTTTTGGTAGCACGCTATTCTCTTAGGAAATAAATTCTGTACTATAAACAAAAACTTGCGAATGATGGAGAAAGGAGATGGAAGTAAATACGATTTTAGACAGAAAAATGAAAAAGGTGGGTAAAATTAGATGTCACTAATAATCGCACGAAGAGCAATATAATAATTAATATAGTTAGCCGACTTTTAGTAGCATTTGAGCAGTTAGCCGACTTTTAGTAGCATTTAAGCAATCTGTTTTACAGACCTAATGCGACATCCGTAGCGGCCAAGCGAATATTCACTGCGGATCAGTGTGGCATTTAAGGTGATCTTTGCCCGTTATCTGTTGATTTTTTTTGCGGGTTTGTAAATTATCGGACGTTGTAGAAAAATTCTTAACCGTGAGGACCAAAGCAAAATTGAAACGCATTCCATTGGTTACGTATCGCCGACATTTTAGATATTGTAATCAATTTTAGGTAAGACTATTTGGCCTCGTTAGACGCATATTTGTGAAGCAATGGCCCGAGAAATACCTCTCTAGCTGGATTAGTTCTAATCAAACAAAACATTGCGAGAAGTACGTTGCGTTAGATGTAGAAATCAGCTTATGTACATGCCACCATGGTACGGCATAAAATATGCCAAATTATAGAGCGTTCTGTAAGTTTGATTTTTTTTTGTTTGATTATAGACTTTATGTTCCCGTAATAACATTCTTATTATTCTTCCAATACTTGATTAGGCTACTAATTAGATGTTTTAAAAGCTACTATGGCAGGCGGTGATCAACTGATAGATTAATGATTTCAACTGCTTTCTTATTATTTATTAGTTGTATTGACATTGTTATGCCTTTATATTTTAATCTCTTTAATTGTTGTTGGCAACATTGGTATATCGTTAGTTCCTATTGTTAAACCGGATTTGTACATTCATAGGGTAATCTAGATTTTAGACCGTTTCTGGAGCAAACAGCCCGCTAGTTAGTCAAATTGTTCTAAGTATATAATATTCAAGGTGTTAAATAGTTTCAAGGATAATTCCACTACATTATTATACTACATCGAAATCTCTTGCCAACAGCGCAGGTCATAGTACGTGAACTTTCAAACATCTCTAAAACTATGGATAATATAAACACTAAGGATATATAAAAATTAAAGGTGTATGAAAACTAAGGATATATATGACAAATATGGATATCAAATTTAAGACCAACCATAGACTTGGTGAACGAGAAGGTAATACTTCTGTTGTATTAACTTAGTCCAGTTTTAATTCAGTGGACAATGGAAATTTCTGTTTTCGTCAATAAGCACGTAACATGGTAATCTATAATTTGATATCACATGCATTATACAGTTGTATATCCTATTGAAGGGTACAACAATGTTTTACGGACATTCCGGACGCGTACTGGCCGATTTTTCTTTGGGGGGGGGGGCTGTATCATCTTTTTTGCCGGAAAAATATGGCGATAGCGCCCAAATCATGAACCCAGATAACTTTACCACAAGATAACCTTAGTAAAATCTAGAAAAGTAACGGAAAGTGTAGCGCCTAGAGGAGCAAATTTTCTGGAACTGCAGTTTGAGTTTGATGACTAGACATCCTGAATCAAAATCAGAATTGTATGATTTTCTGAAACTTTGAACTCCGGTTAGGAATTGCATCACCTCACCCAGTGGTCAGTAAAAGCCTCGGATTTCTGGCACTTCATTTTGCGAGTGGAATAATTTTAATAGCTTTTCTAATCATTTGGCCACTGACCGAAAAATTTGTTGCTCGCTCGAAAAAATTGTTCTTCCCGACTCCGGCTACAGCCCCTTTTCCTGGCTCGTACGCCTATGATTAGCATTAATATTAGTAATTAAATATTTTAATGTGTATCATAACAAGGGTTAATAGAGCTGCTGTCAAATTCAGAGTACAGTTGAATTGTTTTATTGTTTAATTTTAAAGCGATGAAAAAAAAAACAAAACAAAATAAAAAAAACAAACAAAAAAAAACTTGTTTGATGGAATTTCATGTGTAATTACTGATGCGAGAATTTGTTCTGAAGTCAAATAAAGAATGCCAGATTCAAATTTTCGCAAAATGTATTTCAAATTTCCAAATTGTTAAAACAACTGTATGAAACGGCACTCATAAGAAAAGATAGCAATGCCCTTTGTCACAGCCGCTAATTCTTTGCTTCACGTTGTGATTCGAAATGAACTTCAAATTGGGATTTCAAAGTCGACTTCTACACGGACTCAATAATATGTCTTCAATATATGAAACTGAGCGTCCCGAAGAACCCTCTATTTGCTAACCACACATGTCTGTCCTTATTCATGGAATATGGAATAGATATGATTGCATTAATATAAAATGCAACATTGCATATTTATGACAATACTAAAGTCACACGCCGTAACGGTACTTTAAAAGTTCGTTTACTGCACCTCAATGTCCTATAATAATTCACTTGTATTTAAAACTGT